ATCTATTGTATTTGTTACTTATAGTGATAGTTTTTTATTTTGATTAGTTTTTCTATTTCCCTTTATATTATTTAGTAGTATTTCATGATATGCATGTATCATATTTATTTAACCATTTATTCATGGAATGACATTTTTTATTGTTTCTAGTTTAAGTTATTATGAGTGATAGTGTATAAGTTATTATGTAGACATATGTTTTCATTTCTATAGGATATATGCCCAGAAGTATAATTATTGGATTTTATAAGTTCATGTTTTACTTTATCTATAAGAAATTATCAAACCATTTCTCAGAATGTATGATTTGATATTCTTATCACCTATGTATTAAAGATCCAATTTCTCAATATTCTTTCCAATAATTGGTATTGTCAGTATTTTTTGTTTTAGTTGTTCTAATAGATGAAAAATGATATCTTATTTTAGTCTTAATCTGTGTTTCCCTAGTGGGTGGTGATGGTGAACATCTTTTTATGTGTTTATTTGCCATAAAGTTTTACCATGAAAAATTTCTTCTTACCTTTTCCTGATTTTCCAACTGGATTTTTCTTACTTTTTATTGTGGTTAAAAATGTGTAACAAAATATTTGCCATTTTGATATTTTTTACACATACAGTTTATTTATACTGAGGTCATCATATGCAAAATTTCTCATATCTGTTTCCAAATTTTCCATTACTATTAATGGAAAATCACTGTCCTCTGAATAATGACATTTTTTCCTTTCTCACCCATATCTGGTTACCATGAATAAACTTTGGTCTCTCAATATTTGCCTATTGTAAATATTTTTTTTATTTTAAATCAGATACTATTTGTCTTTTTGTATTCAGCTTATTTCATTCAGCATCATGTAATCAAGATTCATCCTTGTAGCATGTATCAGAACTTCATTTCTCTACATGACTGAGTACTGCTGTATGTATAAACTACATTTTGCTTATTCATTTGTTTTGATGGACCTTTAATTTGTTTTCACCTTTTTGATATTCTGAATAGTGCTGTAATAACATTGGTGTCCAAATATTCATTTACACTCCTGTTTTCAATATTTTTGGATAAAAACTTAAAGGAGAATTGATGGATCACAATTACCATGTTATTCCACTTTAAGTTTTTATCCAAAACTTTTCCACAGTGACTGCATTATTTTACATTCCCACTAGTGATGAATGAGGGCTTAAGTTTCTCCATATCCTTACAAAAACTTTTTCAGTTTTCCATTTTCCTGAAAATAATTACCTTACCAGATTGTGGTTTTGACTTGCATTTTCATAATGAATAATGACAACAAAAAATGTACCTGTTGACCTTTTGCCATAGACATATCTTCTTTGGTGAAATGTCTATTCAAGTTCTTTGCCCAATTTTTTTTATTGCAATATTTGTCATTTTCTTATTAAGTTGTTGGAATTCTCTATATAATCTGTATGTTAAACCCTTCTCTTATATATGATTTCTAAAAATTTTCTCCCCTTCTGTAGGTTTGTCTCTTCACTTTTTTGATAAAGTTCTTTGCACAAAACCATAAATTTAATGAAGTCCAATTTATCTATTGTTTTTCTTTATTGCTCATGTTTTTGGTGACATATCCAAGGATTCATTGTCCATGACTAAATCCTGAAGCATTACCCTATGTTTTCTTCTAAAAGTGCTGTTTTGGTTTTTATGTTTAGGTTAATGATGCAATTTTAGTTAATTTGAGTTAACTGGTGTGAGAGTTATGGATCATTCTTTTGTTTGTGGGAATCCATTTGTCCTAGCATCTTTTGTTAAAGAGACGATTCTTCCACACTCACTGAATTAACTTACCACTCTTCTTTTTTTTTT